TCCAGTAGCTCTCAAAGCGGAAGCTTCGTCCCCAATTCACTTTCTCTTCCAGTAGGTTTCATTTCAACAGTATAAGGGAGTCGTTCGATCCACAACGTTTGAGGTGATATCCTCTGGCATCGGGATTTTCCGACATCCATAACTCATTAGCCACCATCCTATCCAACCTCTCCTCTAAGAAATTATCATATGTGTGGTTATTGTGCCAGGTAAAAATGTTTACATAATACCCAAGGTCTTCTAACTCACAGTCCTCCAAAGATTCATTAAAACCTTCCATAATTTGCACATCCGGGAGGCTCAGTCCATTCTTCTCCTCATAAGATTGAATTTGATTACAATCACCACAGACAAGCCACGGGGCTGTAACTTGTGCCTGAAGTCTATGTAATAGATTCCAAGGTTGGGGTTTGTTTGATTTTTTAGGCCGTCAATAAGCACATATTAACCTCCATTCCATTCCTTTCTCATTCTCACTAACCTTGGTAATTAACGATATGATTTGGAGAATATGAAATTATATCTATCTTCACTTCATTTCTCCACATAACCAAATGACCACCTGTTCTCCTTTGTGATCCAACTCCATGCCCATTTTTCCATCCCAATTTTTACATAATATCCTCCCATTCCTTGTCGTGCATGTTTCTTAGTTCCCATGAGAAAAACCACTCTGGGGTTTTACTGGTTCAAAACGCTTTCCATCTTCTTCACTGTCGACAATTGTAACTAAATCTACTCATTGGCCTTTAGGCCCTAACTCATTACAAGGTCCACCACACTGCCATCCATTCTCGATTGTGTTTCTTTCCTTCCTTCCACCCTCACCTAGAAGCTCATGACCTTCTATCTCCTTCCAATGTTCCTGTTGTGCCTCCTTTAAACTTACTTCTCTCGCCTTCTTACAGTTACAGCCAGGGTGATTCTTGACTAGTTTTCCCTCTCTATATATGTGTCTCTTCCATTGTTTTTGTTTCTTGACTGTATTCTCTCCTTGATCACTACTACTTCCCAGTTGAAATGTCAATCCACCAACTATTTTGAGATGATTTTTTTTCTTTTTTTTCCTTCGATTATTTCCTTTTACCTTGCCTTTTATCCATATTTTGATTGTTCGTGGTTCCAGATTTCTTCAGCCGAACCTATCCAATCTTCTTTATAATTCACCTCTTTCCTCCTTGTTGTGATTCGTTCTTGAACTAACTGCCTCCTTGAAGGACTTCTGGAGGAATTTCCTATTAGTTACTTCCTTTGTCTTTCTTATGAGTGATTTTTTAGGATAGTTTGATTCATCTACTGCACTGCATTATTGTTGTAGCTACTTCTCTGTCAAATTTTGCTTAGAGAGCATGCCAAAATCTCATTTGCTTAATCTCTCTCCTGCTTTGTTTTCCAGATATGATCTCTGGTAGGCCCTACTCTAAATTCTGGACCATACAGGTCTTTTCCTATTGGTGATGGATCCAAACAATTTATCTTAGGATGACCCACCTTTTTCATAGGAATAATAATAAATAAATAAATAAATAAATAGGCAGCTTCTCATACTTACTTAGCATCAAACTTTTTAACTTCTTTTTGAATATTCAGCTTCAGTTCATGTTTAAGGGAGTTATGATATCTTTTGCTATTCGAAATATGAGGAAATCGTCCCCGACATGCTCTTTTCTGTTATCAATCCATATTAGGGTTACAAACTTAATCCCTCTTATGCGCCATCTTCGTCGTCCTCAAAGCTGCTGGCAGTTTGTGTATCCGTATTCATATTTTCATAAGATAGAAATCTTCTACCAAAGGTTTGAGGAACGTGTCTGCCTTTTTGAAGATTAAAAAGATGTATTCAAAATTCCAAGGTCCCCCAATAAGACTTTATCCGTGTCACTACTCTCTAGGAATTAAAATCCATAAAGCTGATTTCCCACATACGTTATCTTAAAATTCTTACGTAAGTTCCATGCTTTTGCCAGGGAAATCTTCATCGGCTTCAGATACGGTATCTTCAGTGTTGCCAGCCGCCCAGCCAGTCCCAATAGAACAACAACTTGGGCCAATGCCATGTGGATGTCTCCTTCCTCTACTACCAACGCCTCCTCATCATCATCGTCAATGTCGATGTTTCCAGCCCCGTCGTCTTCATAATGACCCTCTCCCGAGGCTTATCTTGGGAATCCTCGATTCTTTGTGCTGTAAGATTAGGGTTTATCAGTTTACCTTTATCTTGTATAGGCTCCTTCTCGCTTGTCTCTTTGCCATTCTACAAATCGTATATGTAGCTTTGTTGTCATGTCGTCCTTTTCCTTATCACATAACCCTACAGCAGGGGACATCAACAATCCATGTCCGACTATCTCCTCGTCTCTTCTTCTTTATTTAGGTTCGACAGCCTACAACAAGCCCCAAACATCTAAAAAGCTATCAAAATCTCACAGTAGTCAATTATATTTTTCTTCCTGCTACACAGCCATAGAGCCAATCGATCTTATCTTATACAAATAAGAAGCAAAAATTATCAATTCGAGGAACATGCATTTAGATTGAAACTTTGTGTGACTAACATATGTCTGGTTTCTCATTTTAATTGTAGTTTAATACTTAATTTAAATTCTTATATTAATTCAAATTATTACTTTTTATGGTTTATTAAAAAATAGACAAATATTGTGATTTGAACCAATCTATCTTCAAATAGAGAAGGAGCCATAACCATGATTGTCAATCCGAATTTGACTCGGCCAGTAAATTTTTTGCCCAAACTAGAGTATCTCATTGAGCTCCGAAGGCTCAGTTGGTTATTTACTCGGGCTTGGTTAAAATCAGGAAAATCACATCATGGTTGTTTTACTTAAGGTGCAAGTAGAATATGTTAGTAAACCAGGAGATGTGTTGTAGCTAAGGAAGACAGTTTCGGTCTTAATCAGTGCCCAATTATATATAAGAAATTAAGATACAAAATCTCTTAAATGCATATTTGCAATAAAGAACTAATGTATACTTTAGTTTATTCTCATCCCAATAAAGCATTTCTAGTAAGAGTTTTTGACAGATATTTGATTGATCTATGCATGAAACACTAGAAGGATTCAAACGTGCAACGCGTTTACTAAAGTTGATAAAAGAATTCATGCAAATTTGTTAGAGATCAGATAATTTAGAGATCATCAAGTACTCTGACTCTGATGTTACAGGATGTAAAGGTAGCATAAACTCTACATCAGGTTATCCTTCAATGTTGGGTAGAGTTCAAAGCATATCTTGAGACTTCCAATTATGGTAGCAAAGTTTTGTCACTAAAATGACATTGGTAAGTCATTAAAGGTTAACAGTGACAATGATTTGATAGTGATACACTATTATTACCACGGATTTCAGAAGTCAAATATATTGACATCAAGCTCCCGGTGGTTAAAGATAAAGCTCAAAATAGACAAGTTTCTATTGAACATTAAGGAAATGACTAATGCTAGCTTATCCATTAGCCAATGGTTTGACACATAGTTTTTTTCATGAGCATATTGCTTGCATGAGTGTTATTCCGGATGGTACCTTGGTTTAGTGGGAGTCATTTAAGTATGTTCAGTAGTTATGACTAAATCAATTTCTGCAGAATAAAGTGATGATTTTCTAGAGTCTATTTTGTAATTTAAAGTCCCTTAAGTTATACAGTGGTCACATTGTGTGAAGGAATTTCAGTTGATCTCAATAAGGACTAAAGTTGGACCAGTTGAAAATAGACATGTTGAAGATCACATTGCATGTAATTTTCATGCCACTCATCCATATTTGATGTATGTCATTAAGTGTATTGGTGTGGTGATCATGGTGGTTTAATCATTATCATATCGTGATTACAGTCGCGTTGATTCCATTGTTGATACATGAGGCGGACCATATTGTTAAGAAGTAGTCGTTGTACAAATACCATACGGTTGCGCGCCTAAAGAATTTTGTAATGTAAGTGTTTGTGCAATTAGATAGTCCAAGTGGGAGATTGTTAGGAATTTTATTCCTATCTTAAGTGGACTATCAATTCACAAATATTATATTGGGTATTTGATTTTGATGGACTATTTAAAGTGATCAATTTTGTTAGGCCCAATACTGCTTAAACCCAATATGGGTCTAATGGGTGGAAACCCAATACTTGTCCACTTGGATTTTATGGGAGCCCATGTGAAACTAGTATATAAGGAGTTTGAGGTTGTGGTCCCCAACACACCAAGACCAAACACTCTCTTCTTCTCCCCATCAGGAAGATCAGAGGATTCCCGTTAGTCGACTAAGGAGGCTTGGTTGAGGAAGGTCACGAAACCTCCTGGATCGTGCTCTAGGAATATCGTCTAGTTCAAGATCGTCGTTCATATTCCACACCAAGTCTCTGACGATCGACATGATTCCGGGTATTTCTACAAACCTTTGATAATCCGACGAGATGAATTCCGAGAAATTACATCTGTTAAAAGTAATTCTAACAGATAATTCTCATAATTAGGTGTGATGACAAGATTGAGATATTCTATTGTTCCTATCCGATTGAGGCGGAAGCATATGTTATTCTCTTTTATATAATGGTGATATCAATTACTATAATTAAGAAAGAGGAAAAAACAATTAATGTTGTTAAACCCCTACTGGCTCTCGGCTGGGTCTGGCGACCAAAGTCGGACTTCAAAATGGCCTCCTAAAATCTCTCAGTTGAACCCCTAAAGAAGGAGAAGAAGAGAGAGCAAAGGAAGATGGTTGGTGGGTCACGAGGATTATATATGTTTTCGTTTATTACAGATGAGTTTTTAATAAATAAATATAAAGTAAATTCATTTGAGTTATTAAAATTTTAAGTTACTATCTCATTTGTATATATATTTAAAAAATATATAAACAGTTCAAACAGATTGGACCTCAATCGGACCAATAAATTTCAAATTACTTGCTTCCACTATTCAATCGAATATCTATTAAGTATTAACACCCAATCAAACAAAAATTATTGCACAACAAAACAACCCCAAATATTTACCTGCTTTCGTGATGCTAACACCCCTGTCGATGATGGAGAGAGTCTTGTTGGCTTTGTGAGGGATGAGGGGGGATGAACAGCTCCGGCTGGACATCAAGCTTTGCTCTTGTCCGTCAAGCTCTCGAAACGGATCTCGTCCAAAGCCTACAGCCGAACAGAAACAATCAATCACACAATCAATCTACATCCAAAACCTCTGTCAGCTAGAATTCACAAGAAAATTAAAGAAACCACAGATACATATATACATCGGACGAGTTGCTGATGAGCTCACGAAGGAAATTGATCTCCTTGTTGTTGTAGGAAAAGTGTAGATTACATCGGACGAGTTGCTAAAAAGCTGGTTGATCGACCATCACTGTTTCTTCTTACGTTGTATTGAGAACGAAAAACTATTTCCGACTTCTGAAGAAAGCTGGGGATCCGCTTGCTTGATAATATAAAAAGATGGCAAAGAAGTCTCGGGAGAGGTTCTAGTCTCTTCTTCGAAAATATTTCCCCGCGGTGAAACGGGGAAAGATGCGTTCTGCATCCTTCCAACTGTGTGCGCAACGATCGGTGTCGGTTTAAGGTTCGGAAGGTGGCGTTTCGGTCGAGCTGGATTTTTTTTTTTTTTTGTCTTCAAAGAGAGTTCGTCTAGCTAGGATGGCCTCGAATTTTCCGGGTCAACGATTTGAGGAAAATTTGTTGACTCGTTCTCGGGTCAGCTATGGAGTAAAAAACTGTGGAGAAGTTATCATATTGGGCTTTATTTATTAGTTTTTGTGGTAGTGAGCCTACCGATGAATAGGTTTAGACGTTTAATTGTGCTACATTGGTACTGGGCCTGAATTTCATGGCCCGTTCGTCATCTTGTATTTTTCAAGGAAACAATTATATTTGATGGAAACACTTGCCATTTTTTTTTAAACAGGGCGCTAAGGGCGCCCAAAACTTTATTGCATACAAACAAAACGGGGGGTTTCGCTTCCCACCCGATCAATGTACAGCCAGTACAGCAGAGAAGTACACGGTCTATCCATCACATGCACTCCTATTGGTTTCGATTGCCCTATGGAAGCTAGGTGGTCCGCAGCAAAGTTAGCTTCGCGGAAAACATGATCAATCCGAACCATCCAGTCGCGGTGCAGCCTCCTCCTGATCTCAGTGACCTGGGTATAATGCATGTGTTGCTCGGTCGCGTTATCAATCAGGATTTTGCAGTTACTGAGTCTGTTTGTAGAAGAACTTTCCTAGCTGCTTGCTCCGAAGCAAGATCCAACCCATACACAATACCAGCCAGCTCCGCACGAGTGATAGAACCCCCTCCAAGGTTCGCAGTGAATGCTCTGATGAAGCGGCCATCACTCCCCCGCATGATGCCGCCACAGGATGTGCTCTCAGGAGAATGAATAACTGAGCCATCAGTGTTGACACACACATAGTCTTGCGCCGGTGGTTGCTAGCCCATTAGGCGCTGCTCTCGGTGCCCCCAGTCCCGAAAATGGTTTTCTCCTGGTCGATGCTTTGATGATCTTGTCCCGGAGCTGTTTTGTTTGGAACTGGAGTTGTTTATGGGTTTTCAACTTGTCCTGGAACACGAAGTCATTCCGATTCTTCCACAAAAGCCAACAGGTTCCTGCAAAAATAGTAGCATCAATGGTGTTGCTCCGCCCTGAAAGATAGTAAAGAGTCCACCTTTGGGCATCGGCCTCAAAAAATCTAGAGTCAGGCTCATCCTCGTGAAGATCCGCCCACGTAGCGCGAGCAAAAGGGCAGTCCCAGATGACATGGAGCGTCGTTTTCGGTCCTCCGCCGCAAATCTTACAACTCGTGTCGGTGGTGAGGTGTCTTCATCCTCTCTCTGCATTAGTAAGAAGGCGGCCATGATTCATCAGCCACATGAATGCCCGCACTCTTTGCAAGGTTGGGGCCTTCCACACCGACCGCCATGCATGTTGTCTCTGAATGGGCGCCGCCGTGTTGTCCGTAAGCTCGTACGCCGACCGTAGCGTAAATTCTCCATTGGGGTTGAAGCGCCAAACACGAACGTCCTTCGCCTCCTCCGTCGGGATGGGATGAAGGATAATTTGCGAGACAATAGCATGGGGTAAGTAGTATAGAAGGAAATCAGAATTCCACTTACCATTGAGAACGAACTTAGTGACAGGCATATCAAGGAGCTCCATCGGCAGATTTTGGGCGTGGTCTTTCAGAATGGTATTGTCGTCAAGCCACCGATCGCTCCAGAACTTAGCTGTTCATCCATTGCGAACATTCCAAAAGGTCGCTTCCTCAATCAAGTGAGCGACCCGGATCACCCCTCGCCAGAGGTTAGAGAGCCTGCCCTCAGTACGGAAGTAGCGTCCCTCTCCCGTTTGCCGCGAGTACTTGGCCAAAAGGACTCTCGCCCATAATTCGTTATGTTTGGTAAGCATTCTCCAGACAATTTTAAGCATATAGGCTTCATTTGTTCTGGTGGAATCTCGGAGCCCCAAACCACCCTCATCCTTTGGTCTGCACAACGTTTCCCAGTCAATGAGGTGGATTTTCCGGCCTTGTTATGTACTTCCCCATATAAAAGCGAGGATTTTCTTGTCGATATATTCACGCACACTTGCCGGTAGAAAGGTTGTCTGCATCGTGTAAGCATGGAGAGAGGCCAGTACCGACTGTGATAACATTATCCGGCCAGCTAGGGACAGAGTGGACGCCTTCCAGCCCGCCGGCCTCTTATCGATCCGGTCAATGAGGTCCAGGAAAGTAGATTTCAAGACCCTGTCATGAATTACCGGCACCCCCAAGTATCTCCCCAAGTTTGTAGTCACTGGTATTTGAAGGTGTTGGCTCAAACTCTGCTGGCACCCAGCTGTGGTATTTGCCGAGAAGAATACCCGAGATTTCGGCCTGCTAATCTGCTGACCTGATGACCCTCCAAATTTCTCAAAACAAGCGTTTATCTCTTGCACCTGTGCTCTTGTCGCCTCGCCAAACAATATCAGATCGTCCGCAAAAAACAAGTGTGATAGGGCTGGTCCATCCTGTGATAACTTTTTTTTTTATAATGGTGATGAACTTTATTGAAGGAGAAACAAATTAACAAGAAGAAAACAGGGAGAGTACCTCAATTTTCCACAAGAAGTGGAAATGAGAGTTCAAAGAGTCCTACCTACTGAAACCAGAAAAGTCGAAGAACATAACACTCATAAAATGGCGAACAGCCCACAACAACCTGAAACAAAGGAGAGCCTGCAGACCCAGAGGGTTGCGTGCTGCTGCTAGGCAAGCTCACACCTTTAGAACAATATGAAAAGAAGTTAAGATCCACTATTCTCACGCCAACCAAGGAGCCATTGTCTTCCCTGGTCTTTCGTACCCTTGTCCTGCGAAACAATCCATTCCACGACAGTTCTGATAATCTTCTGCGAGATCAGCCTATGCGAGTGAGCATTTTGTTCAAAGATTCTAGAGTTTCGTTCTTTCCAAATGAGCCAGCACACCGCATGAAGGAGGCAGAAGGTGACCCATTGGCTGAAGCTAGAAGGAGTCTGAGAAGCCCAATCCTTGATGAGATCAGAAATGTCGCCAGCTGCAGCTAGGTGACCGCCATTGGAGAGCAAGATCGCCTTCCAAACTTCCTTCGTGTAGCAGCAGTCAATGAAGATGTGATTAACTGTCTCTTCTTCACAGCAGCAGAGTGTGCATCGGTTTGCCATCTCACATCCACGGCGTTTCAGGTTGTCCTGTGTCATGGTCTTTTTATGCCAAACCAACCACATGAAGCCACAAACTTTCATTGGGACAGTATTTCTCCAAATTGATTGGTGAGGGAAGTCCGCAACACCTCCAAATTGGTTCTCCACTTGGTACATGTACATAAAACTGACACTGAAAGAGGCTGTGAAGCACGGATTCCATACAACTCTACCAGGTCCAACATAAATTCTAAAAGAATTGGTAGCAAGATAGTTAAGAAAGGAACATCTCTCTCTCTCAGCCCCCCCCCCCCCCCCCACGTAATTGAAATGAAAAAGGAACATCCCAATACAAGGATTCACCTGACCAGATCACAGAGTCTGAAATATGAGCTCCAGGATTGCTTGCGGCAGCAGCTACTCTTGGGAAGGTGGTGGCGAGGGACGCACAAGGAATCTAGTGATCATGCCATAGAGAGACGCCACTTCCACCTCCAGGATCAGCACAAGCTCCTTTCCAAAAAATTCCATCCACTTTCGAGATATTAGCCCAAACTGAGTTGCTGTATCCATCCGAGATCTTCTTAGTCTTCCACTCCGAATGAGGGTCTGCATATTTAATCTCAATTAACCTGCGCCACCAGCTTTCTCGCTCCGTAGCATACCTCCACTTCATTTTCCTAGTAAGGCATTATTGAAGCTCTGAAGATCCATTACACCAAGACCACCTTTACTCTTTGAAGCTTTACACAGATCCCATCTAACAAGGTGGGGTCTTGTAGATTCACTTGCGTTACCCCAAATAAAATTCCGTTGAATTTTTTCCATTTTATCCACCACTGTCTTCGGTGCCTTCAGAAGCGAAAACCTGTAGACAGCTAAACTGTTAAGGGTGGTGCTATTCAGAATGAGCCGAGCACCAAAAGACAGAAGCTTGCTCTTCCAACCCTGCAGGCGGTTCTGATAACTTGTGATCACCGAGTTCCGGATTGAGACTGCGTTTGGACGATCCCCAAGAGGTAAGCCTAAGTACTTCGTTGGGTCATTACTCCAATTGCACCCAAAATGGCCGCGAAGAAGCTGGGTTCCGGAATATCACCCACGGTAAACATGGTGGATTTGTTTAAGTTAACCTTCAGCCCCGTGACCGCCTGAAAACAAACAAGGATTGCAAGGATATTGATAACCTGGTCAGCCGATGCGTCACAGAAGATAAGTGCATCGTTGGCAAAGAGCAAATGAGTGACTTCACCATGATTCTGAGATTCGTCCATGAAAAAACCAGAAATGCCTCCATTGCTCCTCATTTTCGTGATCATAAAAGATAAAACGTCCATAACTAGAACGAACACTCCAGTAGACAAGGGATCACCTTGTCTCACACCCTTTTCCGCCCGGAAATAACCATTAGCTTCGCCGTTAACCAAGATGGAGGTCATTGGTGTACATAAAGCTCCATGGATCCATTGCTGCCATTTGATAGGAAACCCGAGACATGATAAAACTTTAAACAAGCAGCCCCAATTAAGGTTATCAAATGCCTTTTCAATGTCAAGCTTGAACATTAAGCCCGCCTTTTTGCTCTTACGTCTACTATTAACAAGCTCATTAGCAATAAGGGTGGCCTCC